AGAAGGCATGCCTGAATACACGTAACACTATTGGAGGTGATGAGAGGGGACTTATAGGTTACAGTGTAGGTGCATAGTAGGCGCAGGCTAGGTAGCAGCCTTGGAGAAGGCATCTCTGCATGCATGTAACACGATTGGACGTGAAGGGAGGCGCCATTGGACTTGGCGAAAGAGTACAAAAATGAAAGGTGTCGCCATCCCCATTGGCGAATAAGAGGTGTCATGGTTTGCAGAGTAGGCGCATGCTAGGTGACAGCCTTGGAGAAGGCATGCCTGAATACATGTAACACTATTGGAGGTGATGGGAGGAGACTTACAGGTTATAATGTAGGTGCAGAGTAGGCGCAGGCTAGGTGGCAGCCTTGGAGAAGGCATCTCTGCATGAATGTAACACTATTGGACGTGAAGGGAGGCTCCATTGGACTTGGTGAAAGAGTACAAAAATGAAAGGTACCGCCATCCCCATTGGCGAATAAGAGGTGGCATGGGTTGCAGAATAGGCGCAGGCTAGGTGACAGCCTTAGAGAAGGCATGCCTGAATACATGTAACACTATTGGAGGTGATGGGAGGAGACTTACAGGTTACAATGTAGGTGCAGAGTAGGCGCAGGCTAGGTGGCAGCCTTGGAGAAGGCATCTTTGCATGCATGTAACACTATTGGACGTGAAGGGAGGCGTCATTGGACTTGGCGAAAGAGTACAAAAATGAAAGGTGTTGCCATCCCCATTGACGAATAAGAGGTGGCATGGGTTGCAGAGTAGGCGCAGGCTAGGTGACAACCTTGGAGAAGGCATGCCTGAATATATGTAACACTATTGGAGGTGATGGGAGGAGACTTATAGGTTACAGTGTAGGTGCAGAGTAGGCGCATGATAGGTAGCAGCCTTGGAGAAGGCATCTCTGCATGCATGTAACACGATTAGACGTGAAGGGAGGCGCCATTGGACTTGGCAAAAGAGTACAAAAATGAAAGGTGTCGGCATCCCCATTGGAGAATAAGAGGTGTCATGGTTTGCAGAGTAGGCGTAGGCTAGGTAACAGCCTTGGTAACACTATTGGACGTGATGGGAGGAGCCTTAGAGGTTACAGTCTTAGTTATTTCAAATTCAGTATGACCTATTTAGTCTTACATTTATCAAAACACTGATTCACTTAATCTCTCAAACCTTCCAACCTTCAAACCTTCAAACAATCAAACCTTCAAACCTTCAAACAGTCAAACCTTCAAACCTTTGAATAACTCATAAACTTCAAACCTTCCAACCTTCAAACCTTCAAACCTTCAAACAATCATACGCAATGGCCTCTGCACCCCAATATGTCATCAGTGCACATTTCAACGGTGAGACATACATTTGTCCCACCTCAGGGTTTTTGTTTAGAGACACATACAACATCCGATTTCATTTAAATAGGAAAGCCAATTTCTTGTACTTCAAAAAAAGATTGGAGGCCAAACTTGGACGAGGCTCGGTGACACAAATATTTTATCATAATCCAGTTTTTTTTGGTAACAACCAAATGATATTTTATAAGGTTGAGGTTCAAGATGGCGAGGATCTTCAGAATATGTTTTCCAGTCATGTGTATTCTGGGTACGACTCTATTGAATTGTACATTATGCTGCGAGAGCCTCAGGTGACACAAGTGGTTGATCCTTTGGAGACCGAACAAGCATAGGTAGATGCAGTTGATGAAGAAGAAGAAGATGACGAGTTAGAGTTTGACGAAATGGTGAATGATGATTCCGAAGACGATGGGATACCTGGTATTCCTGCAAACGAGATCTACACACCACCTCCGCACATGACAAACTTCAACATGGGCGGAGATGAACCGTCTTCTGATTTATTTTTCAATCCGTATATGCAGTCGGATGAAAACTTAAAAGAGAAAGACAAGTTTCGTAACAGAGAAGAATGTATCAGAGCCATCAAAAAATTCCACATGCTTAACTCGGTCGATTTTAAGGTGAACCGTGTAAACCCAGAAAGGTACACGATCAAGTGTGTCCACCCTGATTGTATGTTCAAGCTCACTGCATCATACAGATTAAGAGGTGATTGTTGGGTCATAGGTTCCATGTCTACCCACACTTGTGTCAGTTCTACTCAATCACAAGACCATCGAAAACTTAATTACGATCTCATTTGTCAAGAAATCCTACCACTCGTCCGCAACGATCCATCTTTGAAGGTGAAAACCATCATCTTCCACATCACTACAGTTTTTAACTATACTCCGTCTTACCATAAGGCGTGGTTAGAAAAGACCAAGGTGATTGAAAAGGTGTACGGAAACTGGGAGGATTCATACCAAGAACTTCCTCGCTACCTGAATGCACTCCAGACTTATTCTTCGGGTACTGTTTACATTCTGGAAACAATGCCAACATACACCCAAGATGGTAGTCAACTGAACGAAAATGGAATATTCAGTCGAGTGTTTTGGGCATTTCAACCTTGCATCACAGGGTTTGCATCATGCAAACCAATTATACAAATTGATGGGACTTGGTTGTATGGGAAATACAAAGGCACGCTACTGATGGCAGTTGCACAAGATGGCAACAACAATATTTTCCCAATTGCCTTAGCCCTAGTCGAGGGGGAGACCGATGGTGCTTGGAGCTTTTTACTGAAAAACCTGCGAACACATGTGGCTCCTCAACCAGATCTCTGTTTGATCTCAGATAGACATGCATCCATTGAAAGTGCATACAATAATCATGCAAACGGTTGGCATGACCCTCCTTCTACGCATGTCTATTGCGTTAGACATATCGTCCAAAATTTCACGAGGGAGATCAAGGACAAAACACTAAGGAAAGCGGTTATGAATGCGAGATATGCATTAACACAACCCACATTCAAATATTACCGTAACGAGATCTGTTTGTCAAATCCGGAAGCCGGTAGGTGGATCAACAATATTCCAGTAGAAAAATGGACTAGGTCATACGACAATGGCCAAAGATGGGGGCACATGACAACAAATCTAATTGAATCGATGAATGGGGTATTCAAAGGCATATGAAACCTCCCGGTCACTTCTTTGGTAAAGTCTACGTATTTTAGGATGACTTCGTTGTTTTCCAAAAGAGGTGAAATGTGGAATGCGGTGTTGCAATCTGGACAACTATGGAGTGAAAGCTGCATGAAGTACATTAAGGCAGAAAGTGCCAAAGCCAACACCCATATGGTTATACGGTTTGACCGACACAGCCACAACTTCATTGTGAAAGAGACAATCAACCACAACGAGGGCCTGCCAAGACAAGAATATAGGGTTATACTGCCTTCTCGTTGGTGCGATTGTGGCAAGTTTCAAGCCTTTTGTATGCCTTGCTCTCATGTCATTGTCGCGTGTGATTATACCCATCAAGACGCGCTACAACTTCTGTCACACATTTACAAATCTGAAACGTTGCTCAACGTTTACAACAACAACTGCCCTTTGGTAGCAAAACTAGATTATTGGCCTGCATATGACGGGGAAATAGTATGGCGCAATGACCAAATACGAAGGAACAAAAAGGGTCGTCCCAAAAGTAAGCGCATCACAACCGAAATGGACTCCCTTGACAAGCTAGAAAGAAAGTGTGGTTTATGCCTTCAGGTCGAACACAATCGCAAAAATTGTCTGAATCGGGCGTCTGCCTCGACCACATAAAAATTGTATTACATAAAATCTTTCCTTAATTATGTTGTAAACATTAGGGTTTTTCGTTAACAGTATTTGCTACAATAAACATTGCGCGTATAAGAAAAAAACACGATATTCCGTCTACGAAATTACAACTGTTAAAACAATATCATCTGACCCATGCATCAACATTACATTGCTGTCTGTTTTGACTTCCTCCAACCAAACATTAGGTCTTCCTGTCGCATGTGAGGTTGTTGTTCGTCTTTGCTGGATCCTCGAATTTCCCCCCTCCACGATGTCTCTATCTAGTCATCGCATCAACTCCCGCTTCAGACGCTCCATGGAGTGAATGTGCCAGAATTTCATTTTCATCGTAGGTTTTGTGGCGGAGAAGATAACGTAACCATCTCTGGTAAAAATCATGGGCGATGTCATGACGCAAATAACAGAGTAAAAAATAAGAAAATAGTGCGAGAAAGTGTGAGAAATGACAGAGAAACGGACAAATTATTTATAAAAACAACATTTTACCCTAGGAGCCAAGTGAGATGGCGCCTCCTCTCACTTTTAAAGTGCATGCGCCATCTCACTTGACTAAAAAAGAGAGGAAGCGCCAAGTGAGATGGCCCCTAGGGCAAAAAGCTTGGTGGAGGCGCCAAGTGAGATGGCTCCTCCTTTGGAAAGCCATCTGAAACATGGTTATTTGCGTAATTTTTTCCGAAACGTGGTTATTTGCGAAATTTTTTTTATTACCTGATTATTCAAAAAAAAAATTCCCATGATGCACATATAGTTTTTTATTTTTATAAATAGTAGCATTTATTTGATTAAAAAATATTATTTTAAACTTATTATTTAGAATATTAAATATATGTTCGATTGGATTTATAAAATATTATTCTAAACCTATTATTTAGAATATTAAATATATGTTCGATTGGATGTATAAACAAAATAACTTAATAAACATGATAGCTTAATAAACATGATAGAACAAAACAAATCATAAATTTAAGATAGATATAATTTTAAACTTATTTATCTAATGTATAGAATATTAAAATGTTGAAAATGTTATTCTGCACATATATTATGTATATGTCCAATAAATTCTAAAAACAAAAGAACTTAATCAATATGACAGTGTAAAACAAATCATAAATTTGAGAAGGTATTTGAATTTTATTAATTTTAATTTGAAATTGTATGCAAATAATCTATCAGCTGATTCAGATCAGACTCAAGTTAGCAATAATGTAATACACTGCCAACTATTATGTAGCAGTAACTGTAAAACTATATATGAATACAGCAACAAAAAAAAAGCACATTGAGAGATAACATCCTACGATTATGAAAAGGTTTTGACTTCACCAACATGCAGCCATTTGGTAGCTGACCACTTATCACTCTTGATCACAGGACATGAACCTGAAAATTATTAAATACAGATAGCTTTGTAAGGTTATCTTGCAAGCTCGTTGACACACAAGCACCTTAGTTAGAGCTATTAAGATGATAGTAATAAAAGAGCTACTAACTAACCATGCAAACTGGATGGATCCAAAGATGAATCAGGCTTCATGCTCCAGAAAAGTATAGCACCACCCATCTTTGGCTTAATTGAAAGTCCTTTTTTTCCACAATCAGAAAGTTCATTCCACCAAGGAACTGAGCTAAAATTTGCCTTGGCATTTGGGAACACTGTCTCACCCCCTTCTTCAGCATCTGAACTGTACCATCAGAATACAAAAAGTGCAGACCAATATCAGCTTCATATATATCAAAGAAGAAAATTGAATTCAACAATGAGTGAATGAGAAGTGAATTCACTTACAGGTACATCAGCATTGTTGCTATACGGTTACCACCATTCCAAAGATTATACTCGTCTGTAAAGTAGTCATGATGAGGTACATACTCTTGTCCAACTTCATAATGGAGAATTTGAAGCTCTTCACCATGCTCTGCATGTTTTAAAACACTCTAATTTGTTGATACATGGTTGAATAAAAAACATTAGCAGAAGCATCAAACCTTAATATTATGAACAACGGAAAGAACTAATGGACGAAAGAACGCACCTACAGGTATGAAGGTAAAATCAGCTATTCTTTTCTCAATATTCCTCACAATTTGATCTTGTCCTCTTTTGAGAAAAGTTCCGGTGCTTGTCCGTACACTAAATACAAAAGGTTAACCATCATTGAATTTGCAATGGCAATCTAAACAAGACAAATGAGATTTATTATATTATTCAAGATTGAACTCAAAGGACAGTTGATAAAGAATTTTGGAGTCGGGAAAAAAAAAAACTAACCGGCTTAAGACATTATGTGCCGTTCCATTATTATCAGATTCAACTACAAGTGACTTACGCATATTAGGCTTGGCTATGTTGATTAGATGTTCACATTCATCTTTTGTCTGCTCAGATCATAAAGCCTTACATTAGTACAATAAGAGAAAATACAAAGAAATATTGCGGTTGAATACTGATCAACAGATTACACTCATCTAGGTCAAGTAACATATACAACAGTTCGATTACACTTTATATAGCAAAATCTCGCTATTTTATATTCATTAGTGTTATTTAAATGAAAAGACTGACCAGAAAATGATGATAGAAAAAGGCTCTGGGTTCCCATGATATGATTTCAACCCAACTCTTATTGCTATCATCTTCGGTTCTGCATAGAATCCAAGAGAAAGAGAGGTCGTGTATATATATATATATATATATAGAGAGAGAGAGAGAGAGAGAGAAAACACTGTAAAATGAGTAGTAGTAGTAGTGAAATTGAATCGAAACCTGAGAGTGTTACTAGGAGAGATGGAGTTGAGGTGGTTGAATTTAGGGATACGGAGAGTTAAGAGAATGAGAATGACGATTGTGAAGATCACAAACAAGATGAAGATCAATGTCCGTAACGTTGAGAGTGATGGCTTTCGAAGTGCTGCGCGAGAATGCCTGAGTTTTACCATAACGGATTTGGAAGATGAAGGAATTGAAATGGAGTAAAGTAATGTATCTGAAGTCCGAATTGAATTGAATCGAAAGAGAACGGGAATGGGAGGATTTGATTGTTAATGATAAATTCTTCTCTTTTTCCTTTCCGTCAAAAAAGGTCGCTAGTTTTTTTCTCTATGTAAAAAGATGGTTAGTTTAGAAAAAGGAAGCTCTTGTTCATATTTTAATTTCAATAATTTTTTATTTGAAAAAAACTTAGATATTATAATTTTTTAAATGTCATTTTTAGTATGTTTTGAAAAATATAATAAGTATATTTAAATAATAAAAATAAGAGAAATTTATATAATTTAAGAGAAAATTATATATTTTTCATATTTTAATTAAAAAATAATAAAAACTATACTAAAAAATTGTAACTAAATTTTCTCATTTTTATTTTTATAAATAAAGAAAGTCAAATTTATAATTATTTTAATTATTTTATTTTATTTTAATAATCATAAATATGGTAAATACATGAACTCAAATAAATAATAAAAAATTTAATTACTATGCATCATCAATATAAAAATTTTTAAATATATCATAATTATTCAAATGTATTATTTTAAATAAAATATTAAATATTTTAAATAAATCAGCCGTTAAAAAATAAGATTATTCAATATGTTTTACTTCATCTTGAAATACATAAATTATACCTCCAATTTTATTATTAAAATTACTATCTTATTAAAAAAAATCACTCAAACTCTGTCATAATTACATATTGACAGTTATTTTAAAATTATTCTTTTTCTTTAAAGTTTTATGACTTCCTTTTGACAAAAGTAAAAAAGCTTTATTACATTTGCGAAGGAAAAACTTTATGAAAAAATAATATTAATTTTAATATATCACACTCTTCTTTTTTTTACACATCTCAATTTCAAATACACTTTTCTAATTAAATATTAAAATAATTCATTTTCAAAAGTCATTGTTTTGTCTCTTCTATTTTTTCAAACTATATAAAAATAGTTATCGATATATTGTTGAATAAACAAGATATATTTATCAATCTCATGTACAACTCAATCTCATTTTTTTATATAAAATACTTTTTAAAATATTCTTAAATATTTTTATTTTAAAATTTTTACGAATATATATTTTTAAAAAGGTAATTAACACATACAATACTAATATACAATTAAATTATTAATCAACTTTTCTTAATAATAATTATTAATCTACTAATGAACATATTAAAATTAATTTGAATGTATGTGATATTTATGTTTAAATAATATAACATTTTGGTAATTCTATTAATTTAAGAATATTTATGTTTAAATAACACAACAATAGTAGATGAGGTTCAAACAAAGAATACAATCATTATAGAAAAATACCGAGGTGAATTTCTTTTTTGAATAACTATGTATTAAAATATTTTTTTGCAAAAAACCACGTTTCGGAATAAATTACGCAAATAACCATGTTTCAGATGACTCTCTAAAGGAGGAGCCATCTCACTTGGCGTCTACTCCCATTATTTAAGGGGAGGCGCCATCTCACTTGGCGCCTAGGTGCTTAGGGCATGCCCTAAGTCAAGTGAGATGGCGCCTTAGTGCAATTCTAGGGCAAATTTTGCTTTTTTTTTTCCAGTCTGGTGCGTTGCGTATTCGATACAGGATCAACAAAATTGACTTTTTATTATAAAAAAAATGATTACACCCAAATGTATTACATTAAAAAAACAGATAAAAAAATAGATAAATCAGTGATCCCCCGGAACCCGGTAATGACCCCCGGTTTCGCATCCCCTTCCTCGCCTTTCCCGTGTTGGGTGTCGTCGTGCTTCCTGCTGTGGCAGGGTCGATGGCCCAGCGAAGTCAATGCGTTCTGGATCCATGAAATCAGTCAGATCTCCATATCTAGAAGATCCGCTTTGGTACAGTCGGTTACCCATACCCTCAAAGTTTGGTCGTGTTGGCGGTGGGTGGGGTTCCATAGTGGGTCTGTAGCATTGATCGTCTGAGTACGTGGGGTAGAAAGGAAATGGATCTTGGGGTGTTTGGTATTGAGGATGTTGGGTGGTTTGGTGATACTATGGTTGATGGTAAGTTGGGTTGGTTGGTTCGTAATCTTCCGACATTCCCAGATCAGGGCTAAGGCTGGATGTTGAGGGGCCCATATTGGGATATACAGAACACTGAAATTGTGTGTGGGGTATGCGGGTGTGATGGTATTGTGATTGGTATTGCGGTTGGGTGTGAGGCATATGGGGGTATTGGTACTGAGGTGGTGATTGTGGTTGGTTGTGGGGCATTTCGGTGTAATTGTGTTGTGGTGGGGACTGTGGTTGGGTGTTTGTGGTTCTGTTTCGTCTGGGGGGTTGGTGGGAGGTTGATGTGTGTTGGGTTTGTTGTTGGGGAAACGATGGTTGTGCCCATTGTGTTCGTGGGTCAACCAAATACCTTGGATGAGACACGTGCATTTCAGGGTTACTAACCGACCTGTACCAAGATAAATATTGATCCGTGTGTCGCATATTACCATGATTGAGGAAAACCGGGAATTGCAAGACATGTCGGTGACGCCTCTGCCACATCTTACACCATTCTGGAGCAAAGTCTTTCCAGTTGGTAAGACCCCACTGGGCGTCGACCCTTTTGAGATGCCACGGGGACAAACAAGTCGGATCACTTGGTATCTCTTGATGCATTCTGAACTGCATCTTCACACGGTCGCTGTGGTGCATCTCCACAACATTGAACCGTATGATTGCAGTCTTGGCGCTCCAAATTGCTGCATCCTCGGGGTTTGGTTCATGGCCCAAACCCAAATATGGTCTCCAGAAAAACTGCAAAAAAAATTAAATCAGGTTAATGAAAACATAATATATAAATAATTTAAATGAAGAAAAGTTGAAAGGTACGACGTACATCATCCGGGCCTAGGTGATCCAACAGATTGCGGTATAGTGAGACATTGAATCTTGGATTCTTGCCATAATCCATACCCCTCACACAATACCTAAAGGAAATGAAAAACATTTTATTTTTAGCATATATTTGGTGAAGAGATGAATAGTATTAAATGATATAACTTGATGACTTACTTTGTTGCGTACAGGAAAACGAAAGTATTGTTGTTGACGGGGTTTAAGGACTCCATCCTCCACCAACCCCGGGCTTGTAGTAAAAAAGCGCAGCCATAAAATGTACATTTTTCCTTGACTGCATTTTTGCACAAGGAACTGTATAGGTGGGCTAAAACTGCAGAACCCCAACTATACTTTCTTGTTTTTTCAAAATCTCTAAGTAAATGTAAATACATAAAATTTACACTATTTCCCGTACTTTCGGGAAATAAAAAGGTTCTAAATAGTATCATTAGATAAGTTTTGGCTTTTACTACCCTGTCTTGCTTGGAGGAATTTTCGTTTAATTCCAAACTTGCATAATGACTTTTAAGTTCAGTGAGTAGTATACCCTGACCTCTCGCACCACCACCTTCAACCATATCCCTGCCCAACAATTCTTCACACTGAGAATTTTACCGTCGACAGGGAGACCCAGTAACATGTACACATCCTCTAGCGTGACGGTACATTCACCTATTGGTAGGTGAAATGTATGGGTCTATGGTCTCCACCTTTCCAACATTACAAGAATGAACTTCGAATCAATTGTGCAGTTGGAGATCTTTATAACATGTCTGAAACCTGCGTATTCCAGATATAGTACGATAAATGGGTCGGGAGCCAGGTAGTTGTGAGACCAGATTCTGAATCTTTTGGTATCCTGTGTTAATAATGTAAAAGATGTAAGATTAAGTAAGATGAACAAAGCATTACATGAAGTATAAAAAATGTATAACCAAAATAGAAACTTACAAATGCGGAAATATTGTCCCTTGTGCCTCTGTGAGAATCGCCCATTGTGAGAAGAGCCATTGTTGAAAATGCCTGAGATTATGAAAGACTTAGAAAGTGTAAGAGATTATGAAAGACTTTGTAGCAGAGAGTGAGACGATTGTGGGTGTGAGAGAAGTATGTTATGCTTTGTATTTATAGGCAAAAAAATTTCATAGAGTAAGTGAGGTGGTAGATGGTGCATGCATGCATGATAAGTGTCACTCTTGCAGAGTAGGCGCAGCTAGGTGGCAGCCTTGGAGAAGGCATCTCTGCATGCATGTAACACGATTGGAAATTAAGGGAGGCACCATTGGACTTGGTGAAAGAGTACAAAAATGAAAGGTGTCGCTATCCCTATTGGCAAATAAGAGGTGTGATGGGTTGCAGAGTAGGCGCAGGCTAGGTGACAACCTTGGGGATGCCATGCCTGAATGCATGTAACACTATTAGAGGTGATGGGAGGAGACTTACAAGTTACAGTGTAGGTGCAGCTAGGTGGCAGCCTTGGAGAAGGCATCTCTACATACATGTAACATGATTGGACATTAAGGGAGGCGCCATTGGACTTGGCGAAAGAGTACAAAAATGAAAGGTGTCGCCATCCCTATTGGCGAATAAGAGGTGTGATGGGTTGCAGAGTAGGCGCAGGTTAGGTGACAGCCTTGGGGATGCCATGCCTGAATGCATGTAACACTATTGGAGGTGATGAGAGGAGACTTACAAGTTACAGTGTAGGTGCAGAGTAGGCGCAGCTAGGTGGCAGTCTTGGAGAAGACATCTCTGCATGCATGTAACACGATTGAACATTAAGGGATGCGCCATTGAACTTGGCGAAAGAGTACAATAATGAAAGGTGTCGCCATCCCCATTGGCGAATAAGAGGTGTCATGGGTTGCAGAGTAGGCGCAGGCTAGGTGACAGCCTTGGGGATGCCATGCCTGAATGCATGTAACACTATTGGAGGTGATGGGAGGATACTTACAAGTTACAGTGTAGGTGCAGAGTAGGCGCAGGCTAGGTGGCAGCCTTGGGGGTTACATCCTTACTTAATTCAAATTCAATATGACCTATTTAGTCTTACATTTATCAAAACACTGATTCACTTAA